TCGCGGGAAGCAGGGGAGGGGGCGGAGACTTTGGGAGGGGGCGGAGTTGGGGCGGGGGCGTGGGCGGGGCTGGGGGCGGGGCCAGGGCCCCGGGGAGTGTCCTCCATTTGGAGGCACAAAATATGGTAACCCTAGGACTGGAACCGGTAAAGGCACCTGTCTCAGGACTGACCATTCATGGGACACCAGCGGAGCCGAAGCAGGCTGGCGGGCAGCGCAGCCTCTTATCATTCTTGTGCTGTAGAGAATAATCTCATGTTGTTAGGGAGATAGGATTCTATTAGACTGGTAGCCTTAAAAGTTAGAGGAATCCTATGTTAGCATGATACTTTACTAACAGATTTATTTCCTCCTTGGGGAAGTAAGAAGAGAGGGCATATTAATAGTTCAAGCTGCCTAAATCCACTCAAATGTTACACAATAAACCACATCTAATTCTTCAAGTGGAACTGATTTACTTTTTAGCTCCCCTCTATGCAATTTTGGGGCAAGTGACAATCTAATGAAGCAAAAGATTCGGTGAAGTTGAGCAGATCAATGACTGCTCATCTGAAGCAATGTTTACATGTCTCTTCCCCTCACCCCAAGACACACAGAATTATGCTGTGTTTCACTTTATTAAGACAACTCACAAAATAGAAGCAGAAACATGTTCAGTGAGGAACTAACCGAAAGAGAAATATTTTAAGCTATTTCTTAGAGAAGTTTAGATTCTCTTTCATTCAGTAGAATCTAGATAGATATTTGAAGCAGACAATTTTATATTGGAGTAGGTCATTCAAATTGCATATACGTTAATGCAAAGGGAATTGTGTAAAGTTGAAATTTAATATGAGTTTTAGAATCTCAGTGAGGTGCTAATATATTATAGCCAATTATTAATTATGTGTTTCCTCCTGCTATTTGTTTTATTAAATAAAGTATAAACCAACTGCAGAGACAAAATGAAGCCAAAAGAAACAGCATCCCATTTCTATTATACATGTTAGAAACAGGGGAGAAATTCCAAGGTACCAGATTAGCAATTACTGTATGCTAATCACAATGTTTTACTCATTTTAGTAATACAGCCAATCTATCAAAGAAACAAAAAGCAACGTGAAAATGTCACTATTATACCTAAAACTAATACAGATGACATACTGTAAGGTTATAATATTTGCCAATATATGACAAATATGACAGCTGGTTAGGAGTCATTAGTGCTTCTCTATTTAAAATATACGTTAACACAGTGATCTAGCTTTGCCTCACTTACACAAAGTGAATTCTGACAGGATCGGAAGCCTAAATGTACCCAGCTTAACGTGACTATGGAAGGGAACGAATTTCCTAATTGAAAATGCAACCCTGTTGCTGCTTTAAAAAGGTAAAATTACAAGCATTATTCTTTCTCCATTTTACAAGCATTTCTAATGCTACTGGCATGCAGACATATACATTAATGACAGCGGTTATTGTACTGGGGATTATTGGGACCAAACAAAAAAATAATTGTGCCTTACACATACCTTGTCTTGGAAACTCGTCTGACTCCCTGTGAACTAGGTCAGAAACTCTATTTCCGTAGTGCATTCTGGTGTCATGATCATAGGCCTTCAACGTCTCACTTGAGCTATAGGACTTCTGAGTTGGTACTCGGCAGTCCTCACTGTCCAATGAAGAACTTGTATAGCGGCATTCCTTTCCACACCGACCTCTTGTTAGAGAGCGGTGTCTTCGGTCTTTTATATCCATTATTCTGAGTCAGGTAGAAAAATCAACGTTTTCAGAATAGTTTATCTTTAATCTTGGGGCTAGTCACTCTACCACCTAAAACCAAAAGATAATAAAGAGTGAGAATTGGAGATACAATATGCTGTGACATTTCACTTTTCTTCACTTGTTCAGAAATACAAAGTGGGCAAACTTGATGGAAAATAAGACCTTGACACGAAGTTCCTTGTAAACTTACATAAATTGACTTTAATGGGGGAAAGAAGAAAAAGGAAATGGATTTAGTTGTAAGATTTGTTTCATTTAAACTATGTTTTTATAGAAGAGTTTAAAAATTGATAAAAAACTACTGTAATCTTTTGATTTCCTAATGCACTTTGATAACACAAACTCTGACAGCCTGACATTAGCTCTTGCGATTAAACAGTACAAAGAAAAACAGATTCAAACCAACTAATTATTTCCTTTTGCTGCAGGAGGGCCTGGAATGTGGAGTATCATATGAAATCGACAATTAAGATTGAATCATGCAAAGACAGTTACAAACATAAGGCATTAATATTCAGCATTAAAGAATTACAATGGTACACATTACATGTTGTGACCATGTGAGTGTACAGCAAGGTCTAGAATGGAATAATTACAAGTTTCTTCTTTATCAATACAGTCCCCTCCACCCTTCCTAACCCCCCTCCATCTCTTTTAAATAAATAAAAAAATGTGTGTTGAAGAATTTCTCAATCTACCATTGCAATTGAACAAATCTGTATTTACACCACATAAGAAAAAAGACTTTCTGGACATCATTTGAAATTGTTAAACTGTTTGATCCTAAAATAAATTTGTCTTGCATGCCTAGAAACATTATTTGATTTTATTTATTATATACACACATGCACCCTTTACCAAGACTTTCCATGCTTGATACAGCTGTAAAATACATACCCAACAATGTCTATCAATTATACCTCCTGAGTTCTCCAAAGGAATTAACTTTGTTACATTCCACATTTTCTAACTTAAGGAGGGCTCACATGGCTTTTTTCCATCATTTGTAGAAATGGATGCCTTCACTTTATGTTACCAAATTACAGAAAACTTGTTTTCAAACTGCTGTCTAATTAACTAACACTATGAGCTTTAACTATTCACTTTGCAGATTATCCCACTTCTTGAGCAGGCTAACTTGTTAATCATTGACATCACATCTGCATTTTTAATTTAAACAAGTGTGCAACTTTACTCATATGAGCAGTGGCCCATTGAAGACTGATTACTCATGTGAGTAAGGTTATGTATGCCCATACGTGTTTGCAAGATCAGGGCTTTAGTTTGTAATAAGCTCACCATTGCAGAGTAGATGTGATTGGTCAGTGGAGCCAGTAAACCAGATGAATTTCTTCCCAGCATTCAGACACTGACATTTATAATACTTTTGTTGTTTTCTTTTCTATATTTTGCTCTCAGAAGGAGGAAGTTAGGTAACCAGGAGAGCCAGCTGTTTTAAGACGCCTACATATACTTTGCAATCTGTGAGTTCTGAAATATAAAAACATGCTCCCCCCCCACACACATATATTGTTCTTGTTTATAATTACAATACATTACAGATAAAACCAATAAACATTTCTTCCCCTCTCCTCCCCCACCCCCAATCCTTTTTTTCCCCCTGAGTACTGCTGCTACTTGGGCTAGAGCTAGTGCATCAGGTTAGACTGCAAAAGTTCAACAAACAGATGATTCAAAATGTTCTACAGTTTTCTTGTTTTTCTGTACTGTCTGTGGTTTGTGTGGCTAAGTGCACTTTTGAATATCTGAATTTTTAAAAACCTGGTTGCATTAAGTCCTCAAACCTGCAGCCATTGGCCCACTTACTTAATTTTAAGCACAGGAGCTATTTCAGTGACTTCAATGTGTCTACCCACATTTTCCAAATTTAAGGGTAAGACCTAAGTCAGTGGTCCCCGCCATGGAGCCCTCCAGGGCATTTATGTGCGCCCGCCCAGTGCCCAGCAGGGGAGAGAAGCCGCGGCCCCGCGCCTGCCGGGGACAGAGAACTCTGGGGCTGCAGGCTGTGGGCGCCGGTGTTCTCTGTCCCCGGCAGGCGCGGGGCCGGCCCGCCTATTGCCCAGCAGGGGAGAGAAGCCAGGGCCCCGTGCCTGCTGGGGACAGAGTACTCCGGGGCTGCAGGCGCCGGTGTTCTCTGTCCTCGCGGCTTCTCTCTGCACTGCCCAAAACTGCCGCCAAAAAAACCCAAAACAACGCTCTGCCTCTGCAGAATGACCGAATGCCGCCCTGTAGCGTGTGCTGCCCCAGGGACGTGCTTGCTCCACTGGTGTCTGGAGCCAGCCCTGTATGTGAGTATTCTTCCTGCACTGATACTCATCTGCTCACAAAGAAGAGAAAACCCTTTCAAGATGGTGAATTGTTGAAGGAAGCATTTTTGACTGGTGCTGATTACCTTTTTCAAGGATTTCCTAACAACGGTGAGATTTTGTCGGCAATACAAGACTTGCAGTTATCAGACAACACAGTTACGAGGAGGATACATGCAATTTCAAGTGACATGCAAACTCAGCTAAAGGATGACTTGGAAATATGTGACTGGTTTTCACTGCAATTCGATGAGTCGACAGATATATCGGATACAGTGCAGTTGGCAGTTATGGTGAGGATGGTATTTAGTGACTTACCCGTAAAAGAAGAGTTACTAAAAGTATTGCCTATGAAAGGGTGAACAAAGGGTGAAGACATCTATAATTAATTCAAATCATACGCAACATCAATTAGTATGCCACTACACAAGCTGTCTGTGATCACCATTGATGGGGTACCAGCAATGATGGGCAGCGCCAATGGATTCATTGCACTGTGTAAGAAGAATGAATCCTTTCCAAACTTTGTCTTATCATTGCATTATCCACCAAGAAGCTTTGTGCATCAAAGTTCTTTCTTTTCAACACGTCATGAATGTCGTTATTAAAATAATTAACTCTATTCGAGCGAAACCTTTGCAACACTGACTTTTTAAGGCCCTGTTGGAAGATGTTGACGATAAACAATCTGATCTTATCTTGCACACAGAAGTACGATGGCTGAGCAAAGGTAAAGTTCTTGGACGTTTTTTAAGCCTAATTGAAGAGATCAAAGAATTTCTGAAGTCCACAAATCAGAACTTCGAGCAACTAGAAGACTCCAGCTGGTTAATGGACTTGGCTTTTCTTCCTGACATCACTGACAAATTAAACATTTTAAATCTTGAGCTCCAGAGAAAAGACAAACATGTGGCTCAAATGATAGGTTCTGTAAAATCATTCAAAGCAAAACTGATCTTGTGGATGTCTGTAGCGGGGTGGACACCCGCTCCTGCCCTGAGGGGTTTAAAACAGCCCTGGCAGAGGACTGGGGCAAAGGTAGGGTTACCATATTTAAAAAATAAAAAAAGAGGACACTCCACAGGCCCTGGCCCCGCCCCTTTCCCACCCCCGGCCCTGCCCCAACTCCACCCTTTCCCTGCCCCTTTCCCAAAGTCCCCGCCCTGACTCCCCCTCCTCTCTCCCAGCCACGCGAAAAGGGCTGCCCGAGCGCTACCGGCTTCACGGTTTGCCGGGCAGCCTCCAGACCCTGCGCCCTTGGCTGGCGCTTCCCCAGAGGAGCTGGAGCCCGGGAGGGGAAGCGCCCAGCCGGCGGCGCAGGGTCTGGAGGCTGCCCAGCAAACCGTGAAGCTGGTAGTGCTCGGGCTTCGGGCAGCCCATATGCCTCTGGACTCTGTGCCCCCGGCCGGGCACTTCTCCTCCCCGGCTCCAGCTGCTCTGCTCCTCCCCTGACTCAGACTTCGTCTCTGTTTAAGAGCCAAGCTGCCTGAGCCAGTGCTACCGAC